CTAACCATGTTGAGCAGGTGTTGGGAAGGCTCCTTTTCCTCTCCCTGGCTGCATGCCCTCCAAGGACCTTGTATGAACTGAAAGTGGCTTTGATGTTTCAAATTGAACTGAATTGGGCAAGATGTTGAGAAGGAATTGCGCAGATCCCTGCTGACAGAAGGACACCTATGGCAGGGTCATTCATACCTTGTTTCACCCCAGGCTTTTGGAGGAAATAAGACAAGGAGGCTTTCTGCAAGGAGAGCAGGTTTAGCTGTGTTCTTCTTCCTCTTCCTCCTCACTGGCATCAGCAGAAAACACAGCCAAAAATCATCCACATCCACCACTCAATGGCAGGGCCACATGGTTTGGGGACGATGTGCTGGTGGGGGACAAGGACCCAGGCCCACTGCTGGGTTGAGATGCAGGGTGCCTGTGTGGGAGGAAGGCAGCTGGTGCCTCATCCTCGCCTGGGGCCCTCCCGAGGCTCTGCCTCGCCCACAGAGGCGTGTGTGTTATTAGCTGAATACGTGTGTTGGTCCTTGTCGTCCCCAGTTTGCTGATTTCATTTTCTGAGCCTGAATGGGGCTGCTCTTAATTAGTTATTTCTGTGGCAGCCCAGATTTCTGAGGAATTCAGCTCTGAGTTGGACCTCAAGGCCCAGAAGATGGTGTTGCATGCAGCCAAGTTTGGATTATAAATGCTGCTGAGACCCAGACCAGCTCGTTTTTGCTTTTTTCCCCTCACCTGGCTCTGTATCTTGACCAAGTACCTTAAAACTGGCACGATACTACAAGCAGGAATAATAACAGGAGACAACCGCTTCTGCTGGAATCTGTGATTAGCTGGGATTAGAAGGCCAGAGGAGAAAGTTTGGCTTAGTTTATTTTTAAGAGAATGGGTGTTACTTGCTGGCTCAGCTTTGGGAGTTTGCAGCAAGCCACTGATGGGGGAAAAAAATCACGTGCACTGGGAATTAAAAGTAGAGCAAGAAGTAGGAAACTTTCCCCTCCTTGTCCTCGGTTCCTGGGCCTGCTTCTTGCTGTGGTGGTAAGGAAAGGTGGGATCAGGACAAAGCCTCACTTGCTTCCTAGAGCAACTTGGTGTCTCGGTACAGATGTTTCAGATGAGGCTTTCAAGGACTTCTCTTATCTAAACCACCATCTGCTTGTGCTCTCTTTAAAGGGATTGCTCTGCTGGCCGGAGGCTGGTGGTGTTTCCACCTTCTCCTGCCCTGCAGCAAGGAGCATTTTGCTTCCCCTAGAGACCCGGCCCTGCTTTGAAGCAAAAACCCATGAGTTTGGCTTTGGGGGTGTCTCTGTCCCCTGCTGCCATCCCACCGCTTTGGCTGGAGAAGCTGGTCCTGAAGCTGTCCTGCAGCCCTTGGTGGCTGCTGTGCTGAGCTGGGTGGTCTCAGTGACCTTGTAGCCCGTGGGCCTGTAACCTGGGCTGATGCTGTTTAAATGAGGAATAGTGTTGGTGCTTAATGACAGCATTGCTCTGCTCTCTGCTTGGAATTTACCTGACTAAGGTGTGCAACGCTTTGGGGCTGCTCTGACCCACATGGAAATGCCAGCATCCTAAATAATGAATCTGCATTGAAATCATTAAATTGTGACATGGGGATAATAATGTGTAGCAGGGAAAGCAAAGGGCTGGTTAGAAAAAAGACCTGTCTGAGATCACCCAGGGAGGAAGCTGGGCTTGAAACCCTGATGTCCTGATTTTCAGGTCTTGCCCTTTCCAGCCAAGCCACGTGCACCAGCCACATCAGGAGGCTGCATTTCTGCTCATCCAGAGAAATACTTGGAATTCTTAGGGGCCAGCAGCTGGTTATCGGTGTCCTCAGGATTCAGATGCAGTTGTGCTTGGGGCAGTGGTGTTTTTCCACTTGAAGCGTGTTTGCCATGGAAGTGTCTTCTTCACCCTGGTGTTCTCCTTTCAAGACTGCAAGGAGCATGCTTAGGAACAAAGCTGAAATGATGTGGGGAGAAAGCTGCTGCTGGGAAAGCAATCTGCCCTCTTGTCCTTGGTGCCACCCTGCCGTGCCTCCTCCTGGGACGGGAAGGTGTGGAGCTGGAGAGCAGGGACCAGCTCTGCAGTGGAGGTGGTTTGGTTGTGTCAAGGCAGGGGAGAACTCAAAGCACAACCAGGCTCCAAAGCACCTATAAGCGCCATATATAACATAACAGAGAGGAATCTGGATGGCATTGTGACCTGAGACATGTTGTACAGAGCTTTTCATTATGATTTCTTGGTTGTATTATTTATCACAGGTCCGTGATGAAGCTGACACGGGCTGATGTGTGGTGCAATAGATATTGCAGATGTCTGTTGTGGAGTCATGAGGTCGTGGACAGGGTGGCTTCAAATCCTGGCTCAGAGGACTCCTGCTGAGGTCTGCCATGGCAAGGGTTACCCATGCAGCGGGGTTGTAGGTTGCTCTGTGGCAGTTCTGATTTCTGGGTTGCTGATCCTGCCCTCTAATTTGAGTTGTCCTGGTGTAAATCTGGAATGACTGGCTCGGTTTCCTGACGGTGCGAGTTTTGGAAGTGTCGTTGCAGCCCATGACACAGCTCTGCAGAGCAGGTAAATTCATGCTCCTCATTGACTCGAGGGGACTCGGGGCTCCTTTAGCCATCCGGGAATCTGCTTGAGTGAGATGGCTTCGTGTTAACACTGGCAGGCTGGGCCAGGTTAGAAACTGCAGCATCCGAGGGGTGCTGAAGCGAGAATGGTCTTTATTGTATGGGTCTCTGTTTAGAGGGTGGGGGTTGTTCCTTTCCTGTCACTTTTGCCCATCACCAGGTCGCTGGCACGAGGCAGCTGCCCTCACAGCTGGACTGGGCTGGGCTGCACTGGTGGCTGTGGGAGGTCGGGTCTGGGAGGTGACTTTTTGTGAGTGTTTATATATTATATGACCATAAATGTGTCATCATTTGATTCACGTGTACTAATTCAGTGGGTAGAAGTGAATTTTAAGCACTTTATTTGAAAAAGTACAGGAATTTTTAGACATTAGAACTCATTTTTGGGCACTGTGCAGTTTAGGTCGAGTTTAAACATTGTCAGGGCAAATAATAAATTAAAACACTTAGGTCTGAAGGAAAAGAGACGTGTAATTAGCTTGAACATCACACTCACACACAAAGAGGCTCAGCTGTATGGTACTTTACACAGCAGAACACTGCCATGGTAACTTGCGGGTAAGTTTCTCTCAGTTTTGCTGGCAAAGGTGGATTTGTTTTCCTTTGAAAAGTAACAAAAATGCAAACTAGTTCTACAACTATTCAGTGATTTAAATACAATGTTACACTCTGGTTGATTTGAAACACAATTTTAATTCCCATTGCTGAGGACAGACAGATTTTCTTGCAAAGCCTTTCCTGAAATAACTGCAGGAGTTCCTGTGCCGTGGAGGGAACACGGTGGAGGACCAGAATCAACATTTTTGCTGTGGCAGAGAATGGGTTAAACAAGCGCTAGACCTGCTGTGCTTCACTGGCAGCCTTCTGGGGCTATCTGCACTGAGGTTCTCCTGGGCAGAAAGGGATCCTTGGCTGCAGCAAATAAAGGTTGGTATCTGTGACAGTTTCTCCCCTTGTTTTGCAGTGGCATTGGGGACAGCCAGTGACAGCCCGAGGAGCTGATGCAGGAGCTCCTGTCCTCTCAGCCTCACTTGGTGTGGTGCAATGAAGACCATGATAACACCTTGTCTGGGGCACATCAAAGCTTTGTTTACTCCTTTTGTTTCCAGCAACAGCCACTAGCACGCATTTGAGGAACAGAGGAAATTATTAATTCAATAGGAGGAGGAGACTGGTACAGGCAGAGCACAGTGGCCAAAGAGGAAGAGAAGAGCATCATTTGGTGGTGGCTCATGTCAAAACAGAGGGAGGAAAATAATCAGTAACGTTTCATATGATTTGGGTCCACTCTTATTGACTATTTCCATTAACAGCCTTAGCAGAAAAAGCCTGGAAGTGGTGGTGGCATTTTGTGAAGGTGCAATGCTGGGGAGATGTCACCAGCTGAGACAAGCATTAGGTTGTCATGCTGGAGACGTGTGACTTACAGGCTAAGCAATAGAAATGGGATTGAAAGAATAGCTGAAAGAGCCAAGTTGCATCCCAAAGACAACCCCAATTCAGTGACTATCCTGGGGACCGTAACCATGTCCTGACACAGAATAAAAGAGTGGGGTGGGTTGGTGTGACAAGCCATGAGAAGGTCTGGGCTGTGGGAAGCAAGTGATGGAGAAGGTCACATCTGAAACACTTTGTGTTACTCAGAGTGGAGCAGAAACAGAGGAAATAAAACAGAAACTAGGGAGAGAGATGAAGCATCGAGGCTAAAGGAAAACACTGGTCCAAGAGCAAATGAACTGTGGATGAATTTGGGCTGAAAATCAGGAGTTTTCTCATTGTCAGAGGAGAGAGCTGTGGCGAGAGCTCCCCAGTGGGGTCAGCAGGGACTCGAGGACACGCTCCCAGTCCTGTCTTCTCAGGACAGAGGCTCTGTGAGCACCAATGCCCGTGTCCCGTGGAGGTGGCAGAGGGCAGCTTGGTTCCCCGTGCCGGGCAGGGAGAAGGAAAGGGAGGCAGCCGAGTGGAGCCCAGTGAGGCATCGGGTGGGAAGCTCCACGCCCAGCAAACGGCTGCAATAACAACCCTGCGCCGCGGAGCGAACTGCACCGAGCGCTGCTCCTGCGGGGGGCCGTGGAAGGAGCTGCCCCAGGGCAGGGTCCCGGTCTCCTCGCTCCTGTTGCTACACGCTGGTGGTTTTGGTTTAAAGGCATTTTCCCGCAGCATCAGAAAGCCGTCGGCCGTGGGCAGAGCTGGGTGACAGGAGGTGGGCAGGAGCATCACCACGCATCTCCCCGGGAGGTGAGGCAGCTTCAGTCCCCCGGCAGAAACGAAGGGAGACTGGGGAGAGGTGAAGCGCTCAGCTGAACGAGCGCGGTCTCTGAAAGGGACGCCAGAGTTTCCGCAGCCCCTCTCCCGGCCCGGGGGCAGGTTTGGCTACACCTTCTCGGACATGCCCCTCGGCAGGCTCTGCGGGGAGTGCAGCTCCACCGACTGCCGCCGCCGCACCTCGCGCTCCGCCCAGTCCTCCTCCGGCTCGCAGCCTTTGAAGATGGCAAGTCTCTCCGAGAAGGTTTTGGCTTGCGGGAAGAGGATGTAATTGTAGATGATGGAGGCTGCTGCTGGCCCCACCACGGGCCCCCCCCAGAAGACCCGGG